TCTCCTGACAGTGGCCGGACACCTTGGGTGCTACTGCGTTCAGCTGCCTTTTCTTCTCCCATCCTGCTGATAATATTCGTGTGGAAGTTATGAAGATGTTGAGGATTTGACCTGAAAACAAATTCCCGTGCGCCGCTCCATTACCGCGGCAGACGTCCGATTATAATGCAGGGAGCATCGCGCCTACAGCATCACAGAACCATTAAGGTTAGAGGAGACCTCCAAGATCATCAAGTCCAACCATCAACCCAACACCCTCATGCCCACTAAACCATGTCCTGAAATGCCACATCCACACGCTTCTTGAACACCTCCAGCCCGTATGCGACGTGAGCCAGGCTCAGTGGGTGCTTGTGGGGGAAAAGCCACTGCCTGGTGCTAATTCCTGCCTGTGGGAATTTGGATCTGGCTCCTGCTGGTGCTGCATCCCCAGGTTAGTGCTGGGTCAGGGGAGATGGCTTCAGCCAGGGGAGTGTGGCTGCATCCCAGGTTGGAGCTAGCCTCATCCCACTGTCCCCATCACTCTCCTGGTGTGATGCTACAGGTGCTAATTTCCAATGAGGAAATAGTTGGGCTTGACCCATCACTGACACCTTCCCCATAATGGGAATACTGGAGCTGAGACAGTCTACTGGGGCACATTGCTAACACAGGGTTGAACCCACAGATTCTGTGTCCCCCCATGTGCTCAACAGCTTCTAAAGGCAAAGCACAGGGGCAGGAGGACTTGAACCCAAGAAAATAATGACCAAGAAAATTGTGACTAACCCAATGGTGCCGTCTCCCATTGTAGTTCATGAAAACGAAGCCGATCGTTTGGGTCACCCCGCACAGAGCTGGAGGCTGGAGGGGTTTTTCCTTCTTTAAGACCCTGAGCAAAGCAGAAATTTCAAAACATTGCTTTATTTTTAAATGTATTTGCAAGTATTTTGAGTAGCACACAGGTGTTTGGTTTTATTTGGTTTTTTTTAGCTATTTTCAGTGTTACTCTAATGCGAGAGCTCTCCTTTAGGGGAACATGTATTTAAGCAAAGCGGAGTGATTGAGACATAGGAGATTTCTGCCGGTATTTCCTGAATGCTGCCGCTTGTGTTACATGTTCTGCTCTTGGGGGGAACCTCACGCTTCCTGAAAGCATCGGACGTGCCCCCATGGCAGCAAGTGGTGCCTTTGCCAGGAATATGCAAACCCAGAAGCCGTGGGGTCCCCTGGGAATGAGGGTGCAGAGGATCCCAAATGGGATTTCTGGATTAATCAGTCCTTTGCATTATTTTGGAGCAAATTTACTGGGAGAAAGAGAGAAAATATATTTTTCTGGGTGGAGTGTCCCCCAACATCCCCATCAGATCCCTTCCCATCAGTGGGATCCCGTATCCCACGTGCACATGGATCTGCTGCTCCCAATGCCCAGGGACATCTGATTGCAGGAAGCAGGAATTCACAGAATCACAGAATCACAGA